TTCCTTTACATACATGCGACATATTTCTAGACTTTACATTTTTTTTTTACATTGGCCCATCTGTTCATTCTTGCACTGGTACACTTAAATGTTTAAAGTTTTATACTTTTTAAAAAAAGATGATTTATTTAATTTTATTTATTATTATTTTTAAAATTTGACCACAGAGATAGAGAGAAAGCAAGCTGCAGGTCCAGGACTTGCCACAGAGATAGAGACAAAGCAAGCTGCAGGTCCAGGACTTGAACTGTGGTCAGCCATATGGGAATCCAGCACCTTAACCACCATGCCACCTGCTGGTCTCAATTTTATACTGTTGTAACAATAGCCGTTTCTCTTCATTCTCCTTTCAGTGTGTTAAGGGCAAGACTTCTGGAACCAGCCTACCTGCCGTTAGATTCTGGCTCTGTGATAGAGACAAAGCAAGCTGCAGGTCCAGGACTTGAACTGTGGTCAGCCATATGGGAATCCAGCACCTTAACCACCATGCCACCTGCTGGTCTCAATTTTATACTGTTGTAACAATAGCCGTTTCTCTTCATTCTCCTTTCAGTGTGTTAAGGGCAAGACTTCTGGAACCAGCCTACCTGCCGTTAGATTCTGGCTCTGTGATTAGTCATATGAACTTGGGAAAGCTGTTTAACCACTCCGGGCTTTAGTTACTTCATCTATAAGAAGGGCTGATTATACTGTGTGCTCAGTGTTGTTGCCTTAAATAACACAGAATAAGAGAGTAAGCACTATGAATGTACGTTGTAATTTTGCCTGTCTACCATTTTAGTTTATTCTTTTTTAAGAGAGATCTTTGTTATAGGTTGTGTGTGCTTGCTGGAGAGACATAAAACGAGAAATCACCACCAGGGAGGATGGCCACACTGCAATCCCTTCTCCTCCATTCTCCTCTTGGGATCTTGGGCACACATGTACACATGCCTGGCTTGTTTTAAGCTACCGGGTCTGGGACTCAAACCCTGGTCAACTATGTGGGAGTCCAGCGATGTAACCATTACACCATCTGCTGGTCTTTCATTCTAGTTTATTCTTCCATATGAACTTTAGAATGAGCTTTTGATTTTTTTTTTTACAGAATTATTTTATTTAATTTTACTTATTTATTTTAATTTGACCAGAGACGGATAGAGTGAGAGAGAGGAGGGAGGGAGAGAGGGAAAGTGAGAAAGCAAGCCGCAACATCTGGGACTGGAACTATAGTCAGCCATGTGGGAGTTCAGTGCCCTTAACCACCATGCCACCTGCTGGCCCCACGCCTGAGCTTATGATTATAAAACCTTATTTTTATTGGACTATTAAATTTATAATTTAAGTGTGATGGACTTTTTTTCTTTCTTTTAGTTTTGCTATAGGGCACATGTGCTCTCCAGAGAGAGAAAGAGAAAGAAGGAGAGAAATCACCCCCCGGGATGGATGCCATACCACAATCCCTTCTCCTCCATTCTCCTTTTGGGATTTTGGGCACACATGCATATGTACCGTTGGTGTGATTTTTAAGCCACCAGGTTCAGGACTGAACTGCACAGGAGGCTATGGTGGTGTCCAGTGCCTTAATCTCCATACCACCTGCAGGCTCAATTATTATTATTACTTTAATTTTGCCAGAGGACTTGTGTGCTTACTCGGTAGACAAAAAGAAAAGAAAGCACCCCAATTGCCACATGGCAGTACCTTCTCCATTTCTCTCTCCTTTCAAGATTTTGCACACGTACAAATACATGCCTGTTGTGTTTCTCAAGCCACTAGGTCCAGGACACAAATCCCGTAGTCAGCCATATGGAATCCAGCCATCTGAACCACTACACCATGGATCAGCCTTTTTTATTTGTTTGTTTGTTGTTGTTGTTTTGTTTTTTTTGGGAGAGATTTTTACTAGAGGGCGTGTGCACTCTCCAGAAAGACAGAGAGACAGACAGAAAGTGAGAAATCACCCCCCGGGGAGGATGGCCATGCTGCAATCCCTTCTCCTCCATTCTCCTCTCAGGATCTTGGGCACGCATGCACAGAGTGAGTTTAAGCCACTGGATCTGGGACTTGAACCACAGTTGGCTACATGGGAGTTCAGTGACATAGCCATTACACTGACTGCTGGCCCCAACCAGCCTGGTATTCTTTTTTAATGTTGTGTTCCACTGAAGAATACAGAATAGTACCGGTTTCACCAGGTTTGCAAAATAACTATTTAGCCACTTATTCTATTCCCGCACTACTATCATAGTCCAGTATCATCACATTTCCCTTGCTTTCCCACAGTCAGTTCTCTTACACTGCAGAGTGGTCTTTAAAACTTAGGTCAGATGGGGACCAGCAGATGGTGTAATAGTTATGTGGCTGGAGACCTACATAATAGACCGAGGTTGGAGTCCTGGACCTGTAGCTTCAAACTCATGCCAGGTGGGTGTGCGTGGGTGCCTGAGATCCTAAGAGAATGGAGAAGGGATTGCAGTGTGGTCATCCCCCCTGGGGTGTGATTTCTTGCTTTCTGTCTCGCTCGGGCTCTCCAGCAAGCACACACACCCTATAGCAAAAAATCTAAACTAAGAAAAAAGTAAGTCAGATGTTATTCCTCTATGCAAAACCTTCCAACAGCTTCTTGTCTTGGAGTTAAAACCTTGGGACCAGCAGTTGGCGTAATGGCTATGTCACTGGATTCCCATGTAGTCGACTGCGGTTCTAGTCCCGGACCTGGTGGCTTAAACTCACACCAGGCGTGTGTGCATGTGGGCCCAAGATCCCAAGAGGAGAATGGAGAAGGGATTGCAGCATGGCCATTCCCCCCTGGGGGGGAGGGGTGATTTCTTGCTTTCTGTCTTTCTGGTGACCACAGGTGCCCTATAGCAAAAACCTCTAAAACAAACAAACAAACAAAAACAAACAACAACAAAAAAAAAACCTGGAAGGGGATTGGAAACAGCAAAAGCAAGTTTTAGTTTTGCCACGGAGGAGATAAAGGTTCAAGGCAGTTGTATCTTGTTTCTGTGCTATGACTGATCTGAAAAAGGGGAGGAACTGAGGAGATGAGAGATAAAAAGGCAAGTCCATTCATGAGTAGGCTTCTAGTCATGCTTCCTTTCATTCATTTTCCTCAGGGCCTGCCCTACCCAACCATCTAAAATGCACATCTAATTATGTCTGACTCTGCTGCTTAGAACTTTTAGTAATGCCCCAGTACTTCTACAAAAAGTTATAATTTAACAGGGCACACAAGGTCCCATTATTTGTTTAAAAGATGTGGAGGACCAAATATACGAAGCACTGGGTAGGTGCTGGTTATAAAGCCAACACACTTGGTCTTCACCTCAGGGATCTTAGGGTACAGTTGGAAATATAAAAAGGTGAATGAGCTTGGGAGATCTGCTATAGGACAGTAAATAGTAGTTAGCATTTAGATGTCATTGGGAATGATTCCAAAGGAAGGCTATGGATAATGTAGCAGAGACACTAACAAGAATGAAAGACCCTGAGATGTGAGGGCATGAAGTGACCCGAGTCCATGTGGAGTAACTAAGTTTCGTTGAAAGGGCTCCTTCAGTTTTAACTGGGTGGTGAAATTGATTTATACAGGTGGGATGATGAGTTCCACCTTACTCTCAATGAAATATGAAGAGAAGTCTGTAGCTGAATGGGAATATAAATGGCTGTCTCAGAATAACAGGAAGTCGTAGTTGTTGCCTATTTCTCAACTCCTAAAGTTGTTGATTCCCACTTCTGAGTTTATTTAATTCTCATAATCCTTTTTAAGTGGGCACATTCCCACTTGTTCTGCCAGACCTATCTGGGCTACCACCTTCAGTATCCCCACACCTGGAACTTAACTTACTTCCATTTTTTTTTTTTTTTATTTAGGGCATGTGCACTCACTGGAGAGAGAGAAATCACCCCACAGAGGCCATGCCACACTCCATTCTCCTCTCAGGATTTTGGGTACACATGCATACACACTTTGCATGTTTTTCAAGCTGCTGGGTCTGGAACTGATCCACATAGTCAGCCATGTGGGATCTACCCACCTTAACCACCACCACATCAGCTGACCTAAGGATTTTCAATAAATGTGTAACAGAAACTTTAATGAAACTCAGTGGAGCCTACAACTAGGAGAACTTACTAGAACCTGGGAGTGTCAAGCATTAAACCAACCCTAGAATAAAGCAGCTCACAGGACATGGACCCCTGGGAGAAGGGGCACTGCCGGGGCACTTGCAGTCGGTGCAGCATGCTCCTGTGCCTCGGAACGGACACACCACCACACTGGCTTTCGTTCAGTCTTTTGTTTTATTCAAATGCCAAAACATAAGTTCCAAGATACAAATTGTAGTTATACTTAATTTAAAAACATCAATTATGCTTTGTTAACAACTTCCAAAACCAAATGTAAGTTGTTTTGACTAAAATGCCTCTCAGTTCATTTCTGAAGGAATACCCTTAATATATATTTAGAAGTTATTCCAATTTCCACTCTACAAAAAGGAAAATGATGCTTTAAGGTAATGAATGTAAGTTCTAATATCAAAGACGTCCTTAATCTTAGCCAAAAGGCTGAGAAACAATACATATGAAAGACTTCCTGAGGAAAATGTGAACCATTACTAGGGTAAGAAGATAAACACGTGTTCCTGTTCCATATTATAGCAACCAGGCTTAAACCTTCTACATGAATGCAAGTAAATCATAAGTACCTCACATTCTTTTTATTACAACAAAGAAAGCCCAACTCCATCAGCAGATTTAGAATATGCTAAGAGCTTAAGATTCTCTTTCAAAAAAAAAGTAAATAAAAGGAAAAGTTAAGTCTATAAACCAAAAGTACCCTGGTTCAAGTACTTTTAAATGAAATTGAACTGAATGAGTAATATAGAAACTTGTATCATTACAGATGGAAACACAATGCTTAAAAAAGTACCTGAATATTTTAATATTTATGGAATCAAATGATATAATTTCTATACTTAAGTATGACAAATTCCCTCCCTTTTTAGTTTTGCTATATAATGATGATTAATAGCTTATATGTTAGTGTGAACATATTCACTTTGATAGGAAAAAATATATATTTTCTTTAATGTTCTATGAAGTCAATGAATTAGACAAATGTCCAGCACCAAAAACAAAACAAAAAAGCTAGCTTAGTACTTCAGGTCAGTGTGTTAAGATGTTTTAGTTTAGCACATGGCTGTCACTGTGACTAGACTGCATGCTATTTGTACAATTAGATGGAGAGTCTTTTTCTCAAGATTGAAACTGACCTCGATTCCGTCAACTCAACCATGTACTATTAAGTTGTTGGGAAAGTTATGACATATTTTTCTGTTTTTCTATGTAAAAATATGTCATGACTTTCCCGGAGACCAAATACAATGGATCAGAGATGACAACCAGTTGAACAGGTCAGCAAGAGCATGGGCTTTTGGACTGTACCATCTGGGACGTTAGTGTCATGCATGAGCACAGAAGACTACGAGAGCTAAACAAATCAACAAAATATGGCTCTTCAGGGTATTTTTCCATGAAACTTTTAACTATTTGGAAACTATCTGGTCCAATTTTTAAGACGAATAAAATTCTAGTATTTTCAGGAAACAAATGTGGGTGGAAAAAAGGTAACACTAAAGAATGGTATCCCAATATTCCATTTTAAAGAATTTATTTTCCCATTTGTAGAGTAACATTATTGTAAAATCCACGGTTATTGCAATACCTGGATTGCTTAAAACTCCTAAGAATTCTGTTAAAGCATATTTTTAAAAAACTGAACCAAAATAATGTACATTTTTATCTCTAAACATTGTGTCATTAAAGTCCACATAATGTCCTCTGTATAAATCAATGTGATGTTACAATAATATACATGATCTGATTCTTATCCTAAAGGCTTCTGATCATGTATGATATCCAAGATAGATCCAATGCCTTTAATGTCAGACTGTAGAGACAGTTACGATCCTAAACAAAAGAAGAAGCTTATGTACAGATGGGAGCCTGGCAGCCTAGCTATTTGCTGCATCTGCCTGGCGAGGCCATCCTTCTTCTTCAACTCCTGAGTCATATTCCTCTTCAGAGGATTCTTTTGCTGGTGCTCTGTAATTAAAAACATGTTTGTTTATCTTAGAAACTGGAGGTAAGCATGATTTTTAGACTCAAGATAGTAAATTAATTAGAGGAATTAATTTTCAGCTAGAGGAGCTAAAAAGACCACAAAACAAAAAGTATTAAAATTAAATATTTTTTTAAAAAAGTACTCTTAATATTTTTTGTTTTATTTGTTGTTATTACTTAATTTACTATAGGGCATGTATGCTCAGCAGAGAGGGACAGAGAGAGAGAAGGAAAATGAGAAATCAAGCCACTTGGTTCAGGACTTGAACCACAGTTGGCTATGTGGGAGTCCAGCGACCTAACCACCATGCCATCTACTGGCCCCAAGAGCGTTTTTAAAATTGCCAGTGGGCATGTGCATTCATGAGAGAAAGGACCCTCAATGGGGTGTGGTCACTCCATAATTCTTTTCCCTGCATTTCTCCTTCCTCTCAAGATTTTGGGCCTAAATCTTCCTTTTACATGTTTCCCCACGGGGATCCTGGGCACACACACACATGTGCCTGCTGTGTGTTTTCAACCTTTGGGGGCCAGGACTTGAATGGCAGTCAGTCATTTGAAACCATGGGATCTGGTTCCCCCAACCACTAAGTCAAGAGGCCAACCCAAGAGCACTTTTAATATTAAGGCTGCTTGGCATTATGGTTACGTCACTGGACTCCCACATAGTTGACTATAGTTCGAGTCCACGACCTGGCATCTTAAAACTCATGCCAGGCACATGTGCATACATGCTCAAAATCCTGAGAGGAAAATGGAGGAGACGGAATTGCGGCATGGCCATCCCCCAGGGGGGTGATTTCTTGCTCTGTCTCTCCAGTGAGTACATGCGCCCTATAGCAAAAATCTCTCATATATATATTAAAACTGCTTGGGACCAGTAGATGGCATAATGGTGATGTCACTAGATTCCCATGTAGTCAACTGCAGTTCGAGTCCGAACCTGGTGGCTTAAACTCATGCGAGGTGCATGTGCGTGCATGCCTAGGATCCCAAGAGGAGAGTAGAGAAAAGGGACTGGCGTGGCCATCCCCCCTGGGGGGTGATTTCTCACTTTCTGTCTCTTTCTGGCAAGTTTACGTGGCCTATAACAAAAACTTCTCAAAAACAAACAAAAAAATCCACAACTGCTTAGTGTTGAAAAATAGGAAACAGGTTACACTATTAAGAATTCTACGGGGCCAGCAGGTGGCATAGTGGTTGAAGTGCTGGACTCCCACATGGCCAACTTCAGTTGTAGTACCTGGACCTAGCAGCTTGCTTTTCATCCCCTTGCTTTTCATAACAGGGAACCAGCAGGTGGCGTAATGATTATAACGCTGGACTCCCATGTAGTTGACTGCAGCTTGAGTCCCAGACCTGGCAGCTTAAAACTCATGCCAGACGTGTATGCATGCATGCCCAGAATCCCAAGAGGATGGAGGAGAAAGGACTGTGGTTTGGCCACTCCTCCCGGGGGGTGGTTTCTCACTTTCTGTCTCTGTCCCTTTCTGTCTCTCCGGCAAGTACATGCGCCCTAATCTCTCAAAAAAATAGTAAGTTAAATAAAAAATTATTTAAAAAGAGAGTTGCAAGTAAATTTTCAACATTTTCCTAGGAAATTTTTTACTGAAAAAAATGACAACACAGCATCAATTATCAAGGCTCGCTCTGTCTCTCTCACTCTTGGAAGAAGTAAATAAAAAAAAACTGAAAACAAACCCTTTCCTGGGACCAGCAGGTGGTGTGATGGTTAACCTGCTAGACACTCCCACATGGCCAACCATAGTTTGAGACCCGGACTTGATGGCTTGCTTTCTCACTTAATCTCTTTCTCTGGTCAAATGGAAATGAATGAATAAATAAAATTAAGTAACTCTTTAAAAAAAAAAAAAAAAACTTGTCTTAATAGTCTGTTATTTCAGCTCAAATGCTTGTGATAAAGAAGATGAAACCTAACCAATCTGACTTGGTTCTAATCAGTCAAACTTAGGGTTCAGACCACAATTCCTTTTAAAGACACAACATCATTTAACAATAAAAATCAGTTATGTCTTCCGGGGTAATCAATAAACTGCTTGCAAGGTTATCTTGGAAGTTAAGTTAACATAAAGCATAATATACCTTGTGACTGAGTTAAAGAGTAACCTCACTGTTATGTAGGTAATATTAACGTTAAATACTGCATGATAAATCCGGGGTTAGTAAACATAGCGTGCAAGCCAAATCCAGTGCATTGCCTGCCTGTGTAAATATAGATTTACTGGAGCACAAGCATGCTCATTCATTTATGTATTGTTTATGGTTGTTTTTGAGCCATAAGGGCATGTTGAGTAGTTGTAATAGAGACCACATGGCCTGAAAGTGTTTATCTAGCACTTATGCGAAGTTTACTAACTCCTAGAGTAGATAACGCAGCCAAAGTATCAGATTTATCAGTTAATAAGATACCAATGAAGAGAAAAAATTATGACAGCAAAGTTTTCATCTTGTGAAAGACATAAAAAGTCATTCAAAAATTAGGGAATTAGCAGCAAAGTTCATCTTAATCTCTTCACTTACATTACTTCTATGTCTCTTGATAATTTTGCCTTGGAGGAAAAAGTATACAACAATTTTGAAAATCCTTTCTCAAAAACAAAATACTATTTTGTATAAACCCAAATTAGATTTTTCTGTAGAAAATAGAAGATTACTGCTCCTCTCACAAATAAAAGGATTTTTATGCTGTTTAAAAACAATAGACCAGGAACCAGCAGATGGAGTAATAGTTATACTGCTAGACTTGCATGTAGTCAACTGTGGTTTGAATGTCAGACCCAGCGGCTTAAAACTCACACCGGGTATGTGTGAGTGCATGGCCAAAATACCAAGAGGAGAATGGAGGAGAAGGGACTGTAGCATGACCATCACCCTTGGGGAGTGATTTCTCGCTTTCTGTCTCTCTCTCTTGTCTCTCCGGTAAGCGCATATGCCCTTGTAGCAAAATCTCTCTAAAAATAAATTAAAAAATGACAGACCCATTAACCATGAAATTTCCAATCCGTTCTGGCTTGCAAATAGACTGTACCTGATATATCCTGGTTCCTTTTTTCCTTCTACCACTTCTTTGTCAACCTCCACACAAACAATATCAGAATTAGGGACTTCGAACATAGGTTCTAGTAACAGCTTCTCCTAAAGACATCAAAAGTTAGAAATTAAATGGGAAACACATTAATACAAAGATATTTTCATTCTGTAAGCCACCAACTAACTCCATTCACTCAAGAAATACTACAAAGTCTCTATTATAACACCAGGAACTGAACATTGCAGTCAAGGTAAATGCTTTCATATTCTTTATATTAAAACAGTTTCTAACTAAATTTAGAGAAGTGTATTTGTCCACAGTTCTATTTAGGTGTACATGCACATACAAAGAGAGTATACTTAACATGTCAGATGTTCCCAGAAGCATCTCTAGTTTATTCTCTGAGGAAGGCTACTATTGGCTATCAGGAATGTCATGACGCATTTTTGCACAGACTACCAAATGAGCACTGGTCTCAGGTGCTACAGTACATCTTAAGTTGTTTACTACAGGAAAGGAACTACAGGGGGTTCTGGATTATATTCCCTCTAAAGGAAAACATGGGTGTACATCAAATTTCCTTAAAAATGCCACTGACTCTTCTAGTCCGCATGTGTAGAAATCCATCCTTGATGAGTAACACCTTAAATCTAGGCTCCCAGTAGAGAGTATAGTCTCAGACCACGTGTGATAGATGTGCAGTGCCAATCTAAGTGCTAGCGAGACGAGAAAAGTAACAGCAAGGAAATCCTTAAAAGGGAATGGGAACATGCTCCTGCCTTGGCAGCAGGTACACTAACCCATGGAAGAGCCAGAACTAGGAGGTAGGCGAGAAAACTCTAAGACAAGAGTGAGTAGTGGCAGGAAAATGCGCTGGTCCCTAGGACCTATAGCAAAACAAAAAAGTGTGCGTTCATATCGGTGCTGAAGACCTTAGGGGTAAACTGTCATGGCATCTGCAACTTATTTGCAAACAAGCACACTCACAGATAATGAGGGTTTTAATGGGTCTGAGAAAGGCTGCCAGGGGCTTAGTCAAAAGTACATGTATCGACAGAATGCCCTAAAATTCTTCCTACCAACCTGATTTGCTCTATGTCATTAACCGTATGTCTGTGTCCTTTATTGCAAATATCCTAAAGTTCCTTTTTGGAAAAAAGCAAAATAAAATCTACTGTAACTACCCAGCCCCCAAATAACAAAAGTCAACAACCTTAGGCCAATTCTCTAAATATATTTCCAAATTAAAAAAAGGAAGCTTAATATTCCCAAAACTCAAACCAAGACATAATCTAATTTCTGTAGAATAATGCCAACTTACCATTATGGACCGAAGACCTCGTGCACCTGTTTTTCGTTCTAGTGCCAATCTGGCTATAGCTTTCAAAGCATCCTCAGTGACGTTCAGTTCACACTACATTCAAGATAGAAGAGCTTAGATAATCCTTGATGCTATTTTCCTAATATACCCCATACAGCATTTGATTTCACTACTACTACCTATCACCATTACTGGTCTTCTTATAATCACACAATTTTAGAACTAAAAGGAACTAATGCCTTAACTTCACAGACAAGGAAATAAGTTCTAGTGATTTCAGTAAGCTAAGAGAATGATTTTTAGAAACTCAGACAGGGTAAAAAAAAAGCTCTATGTCTTGACTAATCCTATCTTCTTTTAGACAGAAGTATTTAGACTTATCTCCTAAAAAATCTTCTTTGGATCCCTACAACTACATTTTTTAAAGAATTATTTTATTTAACTTTATTTATTTATTTGTTTTAATTTGACCAGAGAGGGGGAGGGGGAGAGAGAGAGAGAAAGTGAGAAAGCAAGCCACCAGATCTGGAACTTGAACTACGGTCGGCCATGTGGGAGTCCAATACCCTTAACCATCACACCACCTGCCAGCCCCCCAGGACAACTGTATTTTAAAGAATGTTACTAAACCCCCTCATCCTGTACAACAAAGGTAAAACTTCAGACAAGTGCCTCTAAATTACCACAAATTTCAAAATAGTGGAGTTCAAATATTGGGAAATTAAAACACACATACACATACATCAAAATACTTTAGAACAACAGGCATCACAAGATTTTGGTATTAAATAACTTTTTGTTACTAATTTATAACTCTGGAAAATGTAAAATTTAAGTGAGTTAATTATTTCTTATGATGTTTCAAAATCTTGCCTTCAAGAAGCACTTGTTTCTTTTTTTAGGAATTGTTTTTATTTAACTTTATTTATTTATTTTAATTTGACCAGAGAGGGGAACAGAGAGAGAGAGAGAAAGTGAGAAAGCAAGGCCCCAGGTCTGAGACTCAAACCTCAGTCGGCCATGAGGGAGCCAGTGCCCTTAACCACTATTCCACCTGCTGCCCCAAGAAGCACGTTTCTATTAGCCTACAACAGTATCAGTACCATGAATTACAAGTATGTTCTTAGTCCTTGAAGAAGAGGTCTTACAGATTTACATGGACTTTCTAGTATCCCTATGTGTTTCCATATTAGGGGAGGGACGGAACGATGAATCAGATATCTCTGCCCTCAGGTAACTAACAGTCTACTGGTGGTAACAGATTGGCCGAGCAAATGCGCACGGCACTAAGGGAGCACCAAAGTGAGGGCATCTAAATCAGACCAAGGGATGCAGGCAGCCTACTGATCTGAAGTATTGGAACCCACAGGGCCAACTGTGGATCTGGATCCAGGGTGGACCTAAAACACTACAGGTGCACGCCCATGATCCTGACTAGCTAGAGGGCTGAGGGAAGGGACTGTGGTGTGACAGACTGTGAGGGTCCCCCTCTCCTTGTACTCAGTTCTTTCTCAAGAAAGAAATAAACCTAAAATAAGATTGGGGGTTGGCTCTGTGGTGCCACAGGAATAATGCACTGTTCAAGAGAAGCCAGATCCCACATGGTGGCTGTGGTTCGAATCTCTGGTCTAGTCAGCCTGAAAACTTCTGGCCATGTGCATGGCTGCCCAAGGTTCTTGGAGTGAAGGACTAGAGGAAGAGGATCTGTGTGACTGGACCCTGTGCTCATTTCTCTTGCTTTCGCTCTCATGTGTGTGCACACACGCTGTATAATGAATAAAGGGAAAAAAAAGACTAGTTGACTACTGAAGGACTTTATGCAGTGGAGTAAAAGAATTAGCTTGTATTCATTCATTTAATAAATATTAAGAATGTAAAATCTGTTTGCTGGGCAATGTGCTCAATGATTTAAAAATTATACATTCTAGAAGAAAGGGGCATGACTTGAGTCAGTGATGAAGGAGAGGAGTCTGACACTTAAGAGACACCAAGCTCCTGAAACCAAAAACAGCTACCATCTCCAGAGTGACTTCCAGGTGTTTGGCTGCAGAGACACAGATGTAGGAGATAACAATTTACTCAGACGAAAGTATATAAAGTATGGCCCAACTACTGTGGCACAAGTGGTAAGGAGCTGTTGCATGAGGCTGGGCCATGTGGAAGGCCCAGGTTCAAATCCTAAATCAACTTGAACAGGTGGGGCCCAACAGCACGTGCCTATAATCCTAGCAAACTGGGAGGCTGGTGGGGATCACAACTGTGAGACCTTGTCAAAAATACCTCTTTTTCTCCTTCCTCCCTTTTCTCATTAAAAAGAGAGAAAACACAAACACACACACACAGTACATCATAACAGAAGCACTCAGAATATCAAGGTTGAGGACAATCCTTTTGGGATTGCATCTGGCTTAGAGGGACATCATTTCTCTCTACAAATATCCTTGGACTTTATGTTACAATGATGGTTTTAATTCCGAAGAAACAAAGCTAACCCCTAAATGTCTAATATAACACAATGTGTCTTCCTGAGATCCTTATTTAGTGTGGAAAAGGCTGACATTCCAGATGAACAAGATTCCTTTTTACTTTGTTAGGCAAAGTTATATAGAATTTCAATGGCAAGAAAAATACAAATGAAGTAAGTATTAAAAATAGAAATCGCACCTTATCCATGCTGAATAAGGCCTGGTACTGAGGGATAACAGCATTACGTGGTTCAGTCAGTATCTGCACAAGTGTTTTCTCATCTAGACTGTGCAAAGGAACCACCACAGGTAACCGTCCCACAAACTCAGGAATCATGCCAAATTCAATGAGGTCTCTGGCTTCCACATGACGTAATAACCGATCTTTTTCTTCAATGTCTTGGTGAGTGTTTGATTCTCCACTCCGATTGGCAAGGTCTGCAGCAGCTGCAGCCCTTCTGCCTTTTCCCAGATTAGATGGCGTTCCAAATCCAAGATACTGCCAAAGAAATGAGGCATGTTATAAACTGCAGAATCAGCTTCACTAGTAGTAAGTACTTAATGCATGTACTTTGTGTAATCTTTGTACCAACTCTACAGAAAAGGTTCTATTACCATCCACATTTTGCACAGGAAAAGAATAGGCCTAGAGAGGTTAAAGTACCTTGACAAAGGTGTTGTTGCTGAAGTGGCCATTCCAGGATTTAGACTCAGATATGTCTGCCTTCAGAATTGAGAACTTGTAGTAACCAAGTCTCGAAGAATGGGTTTTAATTCCGAAGAAACAAAGCTAACCCCTAAATGTCTAATATAACACAATGTGTCTTCCTGAGATCCTTATTTAGTGTGGAAAAGGCTGACATTCCAGATGAACAAGATTCCTTTTTACTTTGTTAGGCAAAGTTATATAGAATTTCAATGGCAAGAAAAATACAAATGAAGTAAGTATTAAAAATAGAAATCGCACCTTATCCATGCTGAATAAGGCCTGGTACTGAGGGATAACAGCATTACGTGGTTCAGTCAGTATCTGCACAAGTGTTTTCTCATCTAGACTGTGCAAAGGAACCACCACAGGTAACCGTCCCACAAACTCAGGAATCATGCCAAATTCAATGAGGTCTCTGGCTTCCACATGACGTAATAACCGATCTTTTTCTTCAATGTCTTGGTGAGTGTTTGATTCTCCACTCCGATTGGCAAGGTCTGCAGCAGCTGCAGCCCTTCTGCCTTTTCCCAGATTAGATGGCGTTCCAAATCCAAGATACTGCCAAAGAAATGAGGCATGTTATAAACTGCAGAATCAGCTTCACTAGTAGTAAGTACTTAATGCATGTACTTTGTGTAATCTTTGTACCAACTCTACAGAAAAGGTTCTATTACCATCCACATTTTGCACAGGAAAAGAATAGGCCTAGAGAGGTTAAAGTACCTTGACAAAGGTGTTGTTGCTGAAGTGGCCATTCCAGGATTTAGACTCAGATATGTCTGCCTTCAGAATTGAGAACTTGTAGTAACCAAGTCTCGAAGAATGAATTCTGATGAAAGTAAAAACTATAAATTGAAGTCCCTTTGAAGTCAGATAATGAAATTGTAGGGTTTATGCAAGACCTCTAAGCAAGTATAGTTCCTAGCAGATTTAAGAACTGTGAAAGAGATAGTAACTTTTTTGAAATCCAAGTTAATTCTGTAATACTATAAACCACAGTACTTCCTATAAAACAAGCAGCCTTGTAAGAAAGTTTTTCACAAGTGTCTTAAGTTCCAGCTAAACACTCCATGATGAGGACCAAGCAGTGGCACAGCAATAACACAACTAAGTTTGTGTCCTGAGACTGCCCTGAACACACTGGTCATGCATGTCTGTCTGTGAGCTGGGCCAGGTGAGACAGGGGGTGGAGGATGGCGAACGGACCCTGCTGGGGATGCCTCTCTGTCTCTTATGGAAGAAACAAATAAATAAACAAAAAATACGCATTCTATTAAAATCATGACTCGAGGCTATACACATCAACTTCTGAGTTAGATAATTTTGATGTTATAAAGATGACATGAAATACGACTGCTAATTCATCTGAACAAGGTTGGGTAACTAAAGGTGTATGGCTCTTGTTTCAGTCAACATTAAAGAAACTATATTCCAGGCAACTGTCAGAAAGTTTACTTTTGACATGTCTTACAGCTTTTATCAAAAGTACAAGAGAAGCACATGACATGTGAAAACACAACGTAAGGTAAAAGTGCTTTCTAAGTATTGAAAGTTTATGTTCCCCAAAATTCATAGGTTGATATTCTAACCAAGATCAGAGATGGGGCCTCTTTGGGCAGTTACTAGTTCATAAAGGTAGAGGCCCATAAATGGAACTAGTGCCCTTACATACAAGACCCCAGAGAGACCTGCCATTCTCCTATGTAAGGTGTAGTGAACAGATGGCCACCTGCAAGGAAGCAGGTCCTCCACCAGACATTGAGGACCTGCTGCTAGGGTCTTGATCTTGGACTTCTCAGCCTTCAAAGCTTTGAGAAATACATTTCTGTTGTTTTAAACCACCCAATCTATGACACTTTGCTATAGCAGCTTAAAGAGATTGACACCACTCCTCTAATTTTTTTTTTTTGAGGTTTTTGCTATAGGGCGCACATGCTCGCCATAAAGACAGAGAGATAAAAAGCGAGAAATCACCCCCCAGGGGGGTTGGCCACACCGCAATCCCTTCTACTCCATCCTCCTCTCGGGATCTTAGGCACACATGCACACATGCCTGGTGAGCTTAAGTCACTGGGTCTGGGACTCAAACCATGGTCAGCTACATGGGAGTTCCGCAACATAGCCATTATGCTAACTGCTGGTCCCCCACTCCTCTAATTTTCTGAACTATGTACTTGGATAGTCAGTACATAGGAAAGCAAAATATCTTTCTTCTTGTTTTGTTTTTTAAATCTGCTATAGGGTATGTGTATTCACAGGAGAGACAGATGGCGGAGAGAGAGAAAAAGTGAGAAAGCACCCCCTCAGGAGACAGCCACATTACAATCCCTTTTCTATTCTCCTCTCAAGATTTTGTGTGTATGCACACACATATGCTTGGTATGTTTTTCGAGCCACCAGGTCTGGGACTCAAACCACATAATTGACCATGTGGGATTTGGCCGCCTTAACCATTACGCCACTGACTGGCCTAAAAAATATCTTTCATTCAATAATTTAAACATTTATTATAGATAAGCATACATAGTAATATATATATATATAATTCATTTTACATAAATATATTTTTATATACAAACAAACATTTTTTAATCATTATTATAAAACACTGGGGTTACCTGCCTACAAATAGCCCTTACCTTGAAGAGCCTAATAAAGAGAACGCATGAGGGCATTAAAGTAGAAGTATGATGATAAATAACTGCTGGGTGGCAGTGAAACAAAAAAACAGATCCATGTTTTGGGTAGAGAAGACCAAGAAAGCCTTCATAGTAGGCTGGCCCCATAACCTAGGGGTAAAGAAAGATGGATCCCACATGGCTAACCAGGGTTGGAATCACAGGCCCAGCGGCTTGAAAGCCATGCCAGGGACGTATGCTTGCATGTCCCAAATTCTAACAGCATGAAGAAACAGAGAAGGGACTGTAGCATGGCCACACTCATTGACAGGAATTGTGTTTTTCTTTGGTGAGAGCATGTGCCCCTGGCAATTTATAAAAATAGCTTCATAGAGGAATTGACTAATAATTTAATAGTCTTGAGTCTTATAGATGAACAGGTAATTTTGGCCACTGGAATGAAGTCTGAGAGGGTATCAGCAAAGGCAAAAAGAGAAAAACGTAGGACTACTCCATTTCTTTTTTTCTTTTTTTTGGAGAGGTTTTTGCTATAGGCACGTGCACTCACCAGAAAGAGAGAGGCAAAAATCAAGAAAAAGCGAGAAATCACCACCCAGGGGGGATGGCCATGCCACAATCCCTTCTCCTCCATTCTCCTCTCAGGATCTTGGCACACATGCACACGCACCTGGCGTGAGTTTAAGCCACCAGGTCTGGGACTTGAACTGTGGTTGACTACATGGGAGTTCAGCAACATAGCCATTATGCTATCTGCTGGTTCCAGGACTACTCCATTTCATATGATTGGAATACATATATATTACTTAGTGTTGTACCTTTGGCTTTTAATGAGTGTGATAAAAATAATAGCCACATTGATTTTTGAATCCTCTATAAGAGCATTCTTCGAGAGTCTCACGTCTGTCTCCTTTTCATAAAGATCTATGTGACAAATCTGTTTCTCTCTCCCAGAAACCTCGTATACTTCCTGTTTCAAGTTTTTCATTAAGTTCACAACTAAATGGAGTGACTTAATTCCAAATAAGTCAGAACTATGACCGAAACCTTCTTTCTACATGTGTGATTGCTTTTCTGGCTTTTTTTTTTTTTTAATTTGCCAGAGGGCCTATGCACTCTCCAGAAAGAAACAGAGACAGAGAAGAAGCATCTCCCAGTAGGACAAAGTCACACCGCAATCCTTTCCTCCATTTCTTCATCCAGTCAGGATTTAGGGCATGCACATACCCACACAAGCCTGGCTTATTTTTCAAACCCTCTGGGACCAGGTTTCAAACAACATGGTCACCTGGCTATGTGGGATACAGCTCCCTTATCTACCAGGCCTCAGGACCAGCCACTAAGATTACTTTTAACTGCTCTGTTCTACACATTTCTAGCTTCCAATTCCTTTTGGAAGTACAAAGAAGTATTAATTACAGATAAATATCAGAACATGGTCCCTGCCTTTAGTTACAGAATTTTAGGGACCAGCAGATGGTGTAATGGTTATGTTGCTGGACTCCCACACAGTTGACTACAGGTTCAAGTTCTAGACCCAGTGGTTTAAAACTCACACTGGGACACTGGGTACATGTGCATGTGTGTCCAAAATCCCAAGGGGAGACTGGAGGAGAAAGGACTGTGATGTGGTTATCCCCCCAGGGATGATTTCTCGCTTTCTGTCTCTGTCTCTCTAGTGAGTACATGCACCCTACAGCAAAAATCTCTTAAAAAAAAAAAAAAAAAGAAAGAAAAAAAATTAAAAATCCATGGTATCTGCCTCACACGCCCACATACAAAGAAAGAAATAATTTCTCTTTTCTAATTTGGCAGGCTAATTTATGCAAAATTTTGATAACAAGAAAAACATGAATTTAAAATTAAGTATGAAAATGTATGTTTTCTTGCTATTGAAATTCTGGG